CGCTTAACTGTGATGGGTTTTTTTGTATGTGGCGTTTACTCTCTCGGGATTTACAGGTCATCATGTCTGGAACATTTGGGAATCTACTCAGCACAAAGTAAAACTATTTTCGCAAGAAAGACACCAGGCAGAATAATGAATTGTGCAAGGACATGTTAAAAACCATCAAGCTCTTTCAAAAGCAATTAGCATCAGGCTTCACAAAGTTTATGTACCGATACCTAAAACAGTTGCAGATTAATTAATTGTTGTTGTTTTGGGTTTTTTTATGACTCATCCACCTCACTGAATGATCTAATAGACCTACAATATGGTCAGCGGTCCCCAACCTTTTTTGCGCCATGAAATGTTCCACGTATAGACACATTTTAATGGACCGTTCTTAGAAATACAGTAAATCGAAGCAAACAATTATACAGTAGATACAACGAAACGTCACGCTCATTGCCGTGGTTCGAATTAGTCGTAGCACTACAGCGTGTTTCACACATTCATCCCAGAATGAACATGACATTATCGGTACAACGAAGAGTTCATACAAAGCAACTGAGCAGCAACTTAGCATAATGATAGCATGTTGGGGAGGGGCGGGTTGCTTTGCAGTGGCAAGTTACGCAGTGATTGATCTCATCTGACAACATCTTGGCCATCTGCACATACAGGTGGCAAATTAAAAGGGAAAATGCATCAGCGGAACAACTGCACCTTGACATGTCCCTGGCATCAAGGGCCATTCCCTTATTTGGTGTTGGAGGCATCTTATCAGCAAGTTAATTAGCTGTTCGATTGCCATTTGAGACCCGGTGACATGAAGGCCAAAGCATTCACATCATTTCAATCTTTATCATGTGTGAAACCGCTCAGACTTAGAAATGTCAGGAACCAGCAACACATAGGCAACAGAATATTCTCCAATACATGTTTATGAGCATACGGGGGAAAAGCTGCTACATTACAAATGTAAAAAAAGATCGCCCCCCCCCCCAATAAGTGCTCATCGTGAAAACGTGGATTTAACTACCGTGTCACCAAAAACTGACTGTGTTTACTGCCAGGTGCCGCTTGATGGGCACGTGTCTTATTTTTAGCAATACAGTACACATCCGCTCTTCATATTGAACTGTTAGAGCAGAGGTGTCAAACTCATTTTTGGCATGGGCCACATTTTAGTTGGCGATTCACTTGGAGGGTCGTTATGACTGAAACCATATAAAGAAGTCAAGAATAACTGTTGATTCAACTATTGTTTAAGTTGCTATCATGAGGGGTTTGGTAACAAGAAAATGCTTTGAATATATCTCTTCTTTATTACATGCGAGAATTTAAAATTTTGGTCGACATTTTTGAAAGAATCATGGAAGTTGACATGTTTGAGCTGCTTTCGTGGGCCACATAAAATGATGTGGCGGGCCAGGCCTGGCCCCCGGGCCTTGGGTTCGACACCTGTGTGTTAGAGAAACATCCTATCCAATATGTTGGCTCTGTACTGACACAGTGGGCTCTATGTTTGTAGCTGGTATAAAGGGAAATGCTGGCGTATTACGATTTTGGTGCTGGCACTACTCTCGTTGGGCCTATTTGGGAAATTGACTGGCCACTCTGCGCCACCGTGGGTCTTTTGATCTAGGGTGCCCCATTTGATGTCTGGCCTGTGTGCCTGACAACCTGTTGGCTGGACGTCGGTCTGAACTTACACCTCGTCAGACTACGTCTAACTTTTGGCGGGATGGGCTCGTCTCAACGTGACTTTAATTCATTTGATTCATTCACAGGCAGTGTGTGTTTTTGAGTGCATGTCATTTTGCATGTTTTAAGATCATCCCAATGGCTGGCATTCAGCTCTGGTGGCGGGGGGGGGGGGGCAAATTCCCAATTATGGTGGGGCAGGGGATAGATACATGAAGTTTCACTGACAAGACCACCCTCATTAAACTCAGACAGGGATGAATCTGCCTCCAGTCGGGAGGTGCCCCCACAACCCACGTTGTCCCCTTTTCATTTTTAAATGATCATATACGACATTTAAATTGCGCTTTATTTTTCTCATGGATTTCAATGGTATTCTCGTGTCTCAGGAAATCTCCATGTTCCATCATTTACAGCCAGCCTCAGAATTCAATAAATCATGCCTCTTTGGTGTTTGCTCACTCATTCCTAGGTTACACTGAATCCACAATCTAAATTGGTACAATCACTTCACATGATATTACGCTCCAAGGATCAGGCATTATAATTTTTGTTGTGAGTTATCTTGAATAATATGTTTTTTTCTTAAAACAATGTGAAGACAATTCTTTATGTTACATCACGAGAAAATTGACTATTGGACTGCAGCGAGATCCCCTCCTGTTTTATTCATTTCTGCCGTCACATTTGCGGCCATTCGTTGTATCGATAGCTGCCGCTTGCCAAAGTGTGTTTGGACAAAAAAATAAATAAATTCTCTCTGCTATTCTCTTCCAACTGTTGCTTATAAGGGAATCTTTTTGGAGGTATTTGCTCAACTGGGTGCGATTCAAATGTTAATGTTTTTTTATTACATTCTTTTCACACACTCTATTTTTACTTCCATTCATGAAATAAAACATCAGCTCCATTAGCCGTGATGTGGAGGTTGCGTCTGGCTTCTCCGCACTTTCGTTTCGACTCAACAAATAGAGATCCCTGTGTACACATACGCTTTAACTTAGGCAAGCTAAATTTTGATCAACATTTCACTCTTGCGCTTCTTGTCCACAAGCAGGGACTAATTAGCAATAGCAGCCGACACTCGCACGTATCTCGGTGTCAGTTTTTCCAGAGCTTACAGTATAATTGTTAGCTCGAGGACACGATTACGTCGGCTTAAAGGAATTAATGAAAGGAAGCTAACTGTAGGGCGCTTGCTAACTGTTGAAAAGCATGGAAAGGGAACATTATGCTTGATTCATTTTACCATTGCTGCCACATGAAATAGATGTAAGATGTTCTTGCTTTCAGCCATGCACAGGTGCTTGGAGAGGGTTGCATTTGAAAACAGAAAAGGAAAGCGATTAATCATATTTTGTGTTTGCAGAGCAGGCGGCATTGATGTTGGCAGCCACGGGGCTTTTTTTTTTTTTTTTTTTGGTTTAGGGAATTTTACCTTCAAATAAACACTCAAAGCCTACTTAAACTCTCCCTGGCATAACCATTCGGCACAGTCGATTGATTCTATTTGTTCACCATAGCTCATAGCTAATTTATTACAACCATTAATTACTTTCAGAGTCTCAAAAGGTTTCAGTGAAACACCGTACTAAAATGGAACCCCCAATCTAAGGCCCACAAAGGGAGGAAAGGGAAGCTCCTTGGAAACTTAATTAAGAGTTAGCAAAAGTGGCAAAAGTAGGCTGCTCGCACTCTGTAGTTAAACAGAAGTACAGATACTTGGTAAAGGAAAAGTACCGAGTTGCTTCGTTAAAAATAAATAAATAAATAAATAAAAAGTACGGACTGTGATGTAAGTGGTAACCCCTTCAAATAAACACTCAAAGCCTACTTAAACTCTCCCTGGCATAACCATTCGGCACAGTCGATTGATTCTATTTGTTCACCATAGCTCATAGCTAATTTATTACAACCATTAATTACTTTCAGAGTCTCAAAAGGTTTCAGTGAAACACCGTACTAAAATGGAACCCCCAATCTAAGGCCCACAAAGGGAGGAAAGGGAAGCTCCTTGGAAACTTAATTAAGAGTTAGCAAAAGTGGCAAAAGTAGGCTGCTCGCACTCTGTAGTTAAACAGAAGTACAGATACTTGGTAAAGGAAAAGTACCGAGTTGCTTCGTTAAAAATAAATAAATAAATAAATAAAAAGTACGGACTGTGATGTAAGTGGTAACCCAGTAAGAAAGGAAATAGAACATCTTTTGTTTATCAGTTGTATACAATGTCTGTTTTGATAACTAATCACAATGAAATAAACAAATATTTCACTAACTATATTTGATGAAGGAAGAAAATACGAATTTGTAACCATGAAGGAGCTTAGACAGGGAAACAGGAGACCAGACGTTGCAGTTTCAAATAACGAGTGTCCATTGGTTCATAAAAGAGAAGTTCAAAGTCTTGAAAGTTTGTGCTCGTCTTGAAAACAGACTCAGGGGAAGAGGCGTGGTCTGGGCTTGTTTGAGGTTTGAGTTTGGAGGGCAGTTGGGGCATTATAAAGCCAGCAGCCAACGACATACACTTGTTACTTTTGTTTTACTATATACACTACGAACACTTTTGATTGATGCAAACAAATGTCTGTTGACATCTTATATTTATTTTGGAATTGTATTATTTCATAACCCTTTGAGGGAAAATTTAGATGCTACGTTTGGCGGACACTAGCTTTCACAATAGTCACAGCTAACTAGTTGAAATTTTGGTATATGGAAGCCAATACGAAAGCCTCAGTTCTTCACAATGAGTTCCTGCTGCCTGTCTCCTTTTTTTTTTCTTTCTGTATTGCTGCTGTAAAACACTTTGAACAAATTGTACAATGCTGCTTGCATGTCTTGATTTGTGATCTCATATAACCTCACCTTTATATGCAGCATAAAGCACATATCGGGTCAGTGGTTCGTATGGGTTTTCACACACGAGTGAGAGTTGGCACAGTCTCCTATGTTTACGACAAGAACAGAGGGATGACACCTTGCACCCTTGAGCCCAATCTGGAAAGAAGACGAATCTCATCCTTCTTCTTCGAGACAGCTCGTCTCTCTGATTAAACCAAAACATCCCCCAAGGTCACACAAGAGGGAGTAATCTTCTCCCATTTCCTCCCCTCCCCTTTGCACCGAACTCAAGTGAGGTTGCTAAATCACTCTCAGCTCGGCATCTCTCGTCATCGGTAACTGGACCTTGGACGCCTGCCTCTGAACCGAGCGGAACAAGTGGGTCCATCCTCTGCAGTGTTTTCATCAAGCCGCAAGAAGGAGCAAAAAAAACAAAAAAAAAACGGGGGGTGGGGTGATCGGGGGGCGTATGCTGCATATGCTCGATACTTGTAACGTTTTGTTGGTTGGGGTGGGGGGGTCCCTTCCAGTTGTCGAGCACATTACAAGGCAACGAGGCAAGCTCTCCCGCAAGCATGCGATGCGCGTCCACGTGGCCGGTGGAGCGCGTGACAGATCAGCGCCGCTAACGCAGCCCCCCGCGGCTTCAGGGTTTGCCCCTCCTGAAGAGCACCAATCTGAGATGGCTACATGGAGGGGGCGGGAAGGATAGTTTGAGAAGGGCTGAGCTTTTTTTTTTGAGCGAGGACGCCAATTTCTCTGTTATTCTATCACTGACAACAAGCAAAAAAATAAAAAATAAAAACAAAATAAAGGAATCCCAAAAGGCAGCAGAGAGACATCAGCCGGACCACGCGTCAGAACCTCATTAACTCCAAAGACCGGAGGGGGGGAAAGAAGCAGAAACAGCAGGAAGACGATCTTTTTTTTTCTTTTTTTCTTTTTTTTATACAAGTGGTGAGAGCTGCTTTTTCCTTTTCATTCCTTCTGATTGTGCTTTGCTGCGATGCGTTGAAGGTGCCGCACATGTGGTGGAAGGCGCTCAGTTAACGTGCACGTTTCGTTCGCATGCAACAACTGCGGCTTGTGGCGCGACTGCGGTGTATGGTTTAACAGGTCTCCTCCATGCATGCGGCTGTGTTGTCTGTCTGCGTGTGTGGGGAACGTTTTTTTTTTTTTTATTGGTAGGATGGGCTTTGAACGGCACTGGATTGGAATGACCGTATTTTGCAGTGGTGTCCAGCTCGAGCCCACTGACAAACCAATGCGGCACTAAAGAAGGCAGCGCTGATGGTGACACGTACTTAATGAGCAATTAAAAACAGCGTGACGACGCGTGACGCAAATTAGAGGTTGGCGCAAATACTGGAAATGCACATGCGGCACTGTCCCTGTTTGTTTGGAAAGCTGTCAGACACAACCTGCCGCAACCAGTGACAAGGCTGTTGAGCAGACGCTAACTTAACCTTGGAACCAAAGCTCCAGTATACACCCCCCCCCCTCCCTTTGCTCCACACCGTCTTAAACCCATCTTTCCGATCAACACCGCTGAAGACAACATGCACCTAGTAATATGTTTGTGAAAGCTGTATGTATTTGATGTGTAAGGTTAAAAAGGCAAAGGTACTTTAATTAACAACGTTTGATGACATGCTCTGCATTTATCGCATCCTTGCGGATCAGTGGGCTGCCACTGTGTAGCACCCTGGAATCAGATTGAGGGCTTGGTCAAGGGAAGTGGCTGGAAATTATATTTGATTTCTGATGGGAAAGCAGCAAACATGAACAAAGACAGACCTGGGAGAACAAATCCACACAGGAAGGCTTAAAGATGCGATTTGAGCCAGAGGTCTTGCTCGCATCTTTTTCGGTGTAAGGTGAAAAAAAAAGGGCTGCTACTTTGAAGAATCAAAATTATTAAATATATTCTGTTTTGATCCAAATTTTGTGTTTACAAAATAATTCCATCGATATTTCTTAATTGTGTCAAGGATTTTTTTAAATAATGGGAAAAAAACGTGATTTTAAAGGGTGTTTCCGAACTTTTAACTTGTTCTGTGCATGAGTTGTTTTGATAGCTGTGCCATCTACGTAATTGGTTTCACATCATATCAGAGGTCCAATGAATCCAACAGAGAAATACGGTAGAGTCAACAATGGAGGTCATTGAGAACTTTATGTTCTTTCTTCATGACGTCATAACAATATTAATGACAAGAACGCTGAAAGTCATGTTTGTTTTCCCCAAAATGCTTTCCCCATTTCATGAACATAATTGACAAAAAATGATCGCGATTCTAAAGATCCATGACTGCCGCACCATTTTGCACATTTGTGAAAAATGACAGAACCAATGTTCCTTTTTTTCTAAGGTAGTCTGTGTTGTTGATATTGACTTATAAATATTGGTGGTCTCCCAGAAAAGATGACGCTAACAAAGGAGTTGGGTGCCGGATTGAAGTGGCGCAAATGTTTGTTCACGCTGTAGAAAGTAGGTCCGATGTGAAGTGCAGACATTTCACATTAGGAAGTCTATTCATGCGTATTCTTTGTGCGTATTCACACACATTTGCGAGCGCCCGGGCGATGGTTTTATTTAATGGCTGTCTTACTAAATCAAGACCATAAGACGTCATCCCCCCCTCGAAAAGCATCTTTCATTCCTGCCAGAGTCGCCACATTTTAAACTCCCCTAGGCCTCCGCCCCCACCGTCACATCGTCCTGTTTTACCACCGATCTAATTTGATGTAGTGCACACTCACATGTTCTACCCCGCAGCGTCCCTCTCAAGTTTGCACACTTCAGGACTCAAAAAGCGATGACTGCTTGCGCTCATGAGTGTGACCGCAAGTAAATGACTTTTCGCAGTCCGTTTCTTCAGCTGTTGAGACGTACGGAGTCCCTCCGTTGTCTTCTCACCGGAAATATATGCTAGGGAGCTGATTTATTGTCCGGCATGTAGCAAATGTGTCAAAGGGAGCAGATTTGTTTAGAAGGCAGGTGATATTTTCCGTGAGACTTCCTGATGGACGTGCTTTGTTTCGGTGACTTCGTGTAGCTGAAGAAATTTGCAATGGAAGATGGGTTTGCATGACGTTGGGCTCTGGAGATGTACTCAAATCCAACATGTAAGGAATAACACTGGATTTGTTGACAGGATTAACTCTGCTCTATTATTCCTTGAGGCACGTAAGGACCGACGCAGTAAAAACCGCAGAGCATCTCCAATGATTAGAAGATAAACGTCTCCAAGGGACTTGAGGAAAAGCATCCTCTTTGCTCAGAGGGAGAGGCAACTATCCCAAACTAAATGAAATGTTTACAGCATGTTTCAGAAAAGGCTCGGTAAGCGAAAAACATTGTCAAGACACCCGCATTCTACAAGAGGCTACTTTCTGAGATGAAAGCCACCCGGCTCAAGTAGAAGCGTTGGCCTAATGCATAGCTAATGTCTGATGATGAAAAGGCTGATGCTAGCTGACAGGAAGGAATCACAAGAGCCCTCCAAGTGTATTGAAAACTCCACCGTGATCATGTCAGTCGTGACCGAGAGGCTCTGAGCGGGTGTTAGCATCGCGGCTCCGACAGGCGAGAGATGACGAGAAATGGTACAAAGCAAAACAACGAGCGAGCCAAGTGGTGTTTTATACAAATAACAAGCGTGGACTCCAATATATATATAAAACAAAACACATTTGTGCTTATGAAGAGAGGTCTTTTATCTCACAGTCCATGAATCGGATAATATCATATCAATTCTTTGGTCAATTGTCAGCAACTGCAACTTCCGGGGTTTCACAGTATTTTGGCAGCGGCAGAGGACTCCTGCCAAGACTAATCTCATGTGAACGCGCATCTCAGCAATTTAGGGAATAAAAGTACTTACCAAAACTCGACGAAACATCTTCAACAAGGGCATAATGAGCAGAGAAAATCAATGGCTATTGATTGATGAGCTGCTGTTGGAGTCGTCACTGTAAGCTGCTCACTGGCCCCATTTGAATTTGTGATGGGATTGATTCAAGTGTATTTTACTGGCGTTGGAAGACGAAAACAAAGTAATGATACAAATAATACTCGATTAAATCGATTCACGCGGAACAAAAGTTCTGTCAGGATGTTGGGGTCGACTCAGATGTCCCCACAGATGTCCTTTTGTTTATCACAATCGCTGGCGCTTGGTTTGAAGTGCAAAGCAGCAGGAGGAGGGACTCGAGGAAAAACACCACACATAAACCCCCGTTCAAACGTATTGGAACGGTGAACCTAATGACTTCATTCGTACAGTGCACTGCAAACGTCTCTCATATTCATATTTTGACCCAAAACTCATTGTCGGTGTCGAGCAAAAACAAAGAATTTTGTTCTCGCTTTTGCAATACTTTTCTGATAAGAAGAGGTTATCGAAAATATAATACAGCCATGCCCTTATTTTCACAAATCATAAACAGCAGAGTCTTCCTAAGACCTTTCGGGTCACAAGTTCAAGCTAAAGCCTAAAGCTGCATATCTGGGAAGCTCTACTGCAGAGGCATAACATCCTCAGGTCCTGCAGAAAAGAAAAAAAAACCCTCACACTTGAAAGGTTGCGGATGGAATATAAATTGCCTGAATCACACAATTCACTGGATATATCTTACCTGCGAGTGGAGCGATCAAAATAAAACTTTCAATCGATACATGGGGGTTGCTGCTTTCAGAAAACGGGGACATTTTACAGACCCCTGACAAGTAAAAATTGAATGGAATGCCACCTAAAGTCGGTGTTTCGAACTTTCGCATCGACGCATCGTGATTTCAGTAAGGTGCAGTCGTCTGATGTGACAAAACAGCATCAACGGCCAAGGAGAAATGTTTGAAGATATTATTGTATCTCTGCTATTTTTGCTTGTTCGGGAGATCACAACCGGTCTGCATAATAGGTGTGTACTTTGTAAATATATCGCTATATATACAGTATATGCATTAAGTTTCATAAAGCGAAACAGCCAAATGGGCGAGGATATGTTTTTTATGAAGGCAACCAACAATTAAAGTGTCTCTTTGCAAGCAAAACAAAGACTATATGTAGAGATATTACGGACACTTAATTTTTTTTTTCCCCTGAGGGAAATGAAATCACTTTTCATTCACGTTGCATTCTTGCAGCTTTTAAACTGCTCCTTGTGATACTTCAGTTAGCCGTGCCAACCCCACTTCTTAATTCGGCGCTCATATTTAAGTCCACGTTGAGAGGGAAAATGGCTCTTGATGTTTGTACGGCACGAAGTCAGATGTATTATTGCTGCTTGGTTCGAGTTTCTCCTTGATGGCAGAATCTTGTGACTAACCTTGTTAGTGCGGCGCTCAGCTTCCCCAGTTTGAAATCCCCCTCAGAGCACATTGCAGGGGGGACTGCCTGTTGCTCTCTGACCATCGTCATACTGGACAGCTCCTGCAGGACAAAGAGGAGGGAGGATATTTCTTGCTCGTGAATTCCACTTGCACTAAGTGGTGTTGAGAGGCATCAACACGGTTTCACGGATTTCTTGCTGATGACTACTCTGTTCTGGTCTGTAGATGGTTAGAACAGCGACTTACTTACAAAATGTATTACAGACATCAAAACAAAAAAAAACAAACAAATGAAATCATATCGGGTGTATTATTTGTCTGGAAGAATGCTTCTTGCCAAAACAACTTTTAAATAACCTCCGCCCTCATTTTTGATATGAGTTGTAAAATGTGCCAGATATTCACTTCGCATGCCAAACCGCTTATTTGCACGTTGCGTTTGAGTCTTTGGCAGATTGGACGATTGAGGTTTTATCGGTAGCAAACAAAGAAACCAGACGAGCCACAGTTGCATTGGCAACTTTTGACAATTGCGACTTTTAACAAATTATCAGCAGCCTCAGCAGAGCGTCGAAAAAAAATTCGACACGGGCACAACCGGCTCGTACCTACTCCTCATGCT